TATGCAGCGAATTTTGTGCAAAGACAAGAAAAAGCAGCTATCGGGCGTGACGGCGATCGCTTTCTTCAATGCTTATATCAGCGAATCACCGCATGGATAAACAACTTGATGAGGATTTTTTAATCATGCTACTGAGTGTTCTCTGATCACTTATAGTGTTTTGTGCCACATCACAAAGGAAATCATCGAGAATGATCAGTGGGGAATGTTGATAGATTTGGCTAAATGTTAGTAGATCACTGGGAACACTGTACTGTTCAAATGGCTTAGCCTGATTGATGAGGGCGCCTCCGCCAGTGATCGACGAGCTTTCTACTAAATTGAACGGAGCAAGCGATGAAAGTGGCACAGTGGCTTCAACAGCGAAACCGCACCAGGCTACCGCCGCAAAAACTCAGATGCTGTGACTACCAGAAAGGGTCAAGAAATCAGTAATAGCTGCTTGAAATTGCTCTCCACTATTTTCTTTTATATTCTTCTCTCCGCAAAAAATTGCATTCAAAAACAAAGGAATTCTATCAGACTTCATTTCTTATGATTAGAACTTTTTCGAAGGAGGCGGAAGTGTGTAGTGGCACGCTCACCACGCGAGCGGTCCGGGGATCAAATCCTGGGTCGTGAGTCGCCCGGGCCAACCAAGCCTTCCATCCCTCCGGGGTCGGTTAATTGGTACCAGACTTGTCTGGGAGGATAAAAACACTGACTTGTACATCGGCTGGCCCCCGCAAGTCATTGTATAGGCCACATCGCATTCAAACGCCACTACGAATGTACAAATGGAAGTAGAATGCGTGCCGCATCCCAAAAAGGGATTGATCAACGGCAAATGCTTTATCCTTTACCCTTGTTGTTCTCAGAAGAAAACCATGGTTCACAACACCTCTCACCAAATCTAAAAAAAGCAAAAAGAAAACCGAACGAAACAAAAATCACATTATTCCCGTTATTACGGTGTGTAGAGGCGAAGTACCTAATGTAATTAAAGGAATCTTCCACGGACCATGGACCAGTGGGCGGGACCGGAAGTTTTTGTGACGAAATGCATGGTAGGTACGGATCCACGTGTCGAACGCACGAACGTGAACAGGATTCACTTCAAACCTTCCATGAACGTGGATCCGTACCTACCATGCATTTCGTCGCAAAACCACTTCCGGTCCCGCCCACTGGTCCATGGTCCGTGGAAGATTCTTTAAGGAAAATGCCGTGGTCTGAACAGCTTAGCTGGACTAGAAGTACAATCCATATAGAAATCGCAATAAATCGTGACCACAAAACGTGCGGTTGAGGGTCGTGAGCGGAATTATCATAATTTCCGGTAGATAAGCCCGCGCCGATTCACGTAAAACCTCCGCTCGTGCACTAGACTTTCGTACACCTTAGGAACCACCGTAAATTTGCCTGTAAAGGTAATTCGACGCCCTGATTATGAAAACGAAATGACTTTCATTTTTAGCGTTGGCGTCATCAGGCACTAGTTGGCGTCACCCTGTCACGACATCTGTTTCCACCAAATTTGGTTTAAATTCCCAATAAGGGTTATTTGGTGTCCTGATACGAATATGACATTTCATTCGACGTTATTTGGCGCCTATTTCCTGCTAATCTGCGCTCTCCAATCGAGAAAATATGGTTGAACAACTTTAATTCCAAAAAGCTATGTCATATTCGCAATCATGTCAACAAATAACCCCTGTACAGAAGTTGATACCGATTTTTGTGAAAACAAGGGTCTTGACAAGGTGATGTCAACTGCGTACAGAAAATGAATGTCGTTTTCGCAATCAGCATATCAAAACCCCTATGGGCAAGTTACGGTTGTTTCTAGGATGCACACAAGTGCACTGCACCAGAGGTGTTTTTACGAGATATCGGCGCAGGCTTATCTACCGGGAATTAGGGTACTTCGATGTTATTGTGTTTTTCGTTTTTTTTTACTAAGGTACCCCTTAGCAATTCTTGCTTAATCTTCGTCGACAAGGTCTTCGTCGAGAAGCACTTCTGCAGAACGAACAAAAACTATATCAGAACTTTTCGCTCAGCAATTTCACTATCGCACGACTGACAAGCCCATCACGTTATAAGTGTGAGTGTTGATAAGATACAACAAATGTACCAAGTTGAAGCCGACTTCCGGTGACACATTCGCGTTATGTGAAGGGTAACTAATCTCCGCAGGCGAGAGAGCCATTTCGATTGCTACCGAGTCGAGAAAGTGTTTTCCCTGCCTCGCGTAGGTTTTGATTCAACATAAACTCTCGGTTCTCTCGCGGCAGGTACCACTTGAATTTTGGCGCTGAGCACGACTTGGCAAGCCCTTTGCATGCGAGAAAGTCGAGTTGTAATCCGATGTCGATGCAATTAAAGACATGGGTCGCGATTAAACCCTTAATGCCATTCTCTTTCTGAATGAAGTAGCGAGGATGGTTTCTAAGACAGTAGTCCATGTCATGTCCTGCCTAGAACGTACGCGCTAAGATCTTGCCAGTTGCAACCGCTGCCACTTTCCTGATGTTCAGATTTGTCATAAAAACTTTAATTATAAGCCTCCACCCGACTAGATTATCGAAAACTAACCAGAAATTAAACTATTTACAAAGCACAGAATGGAACTCTATCGCAGTCTGACTTTGAAAAAATACCACAAAGAAGAAAAGAGGAAGTGAGTTGATACTGATCAATAAGCGCCAACAGCTTACAACATTGCTATCGTGGCGCAATTAGCTAAATAACGAGGCGAACTCTGCTCAGGCTACCGTGACAAAGCTCAACTCATGAATATGAGATGAGCACGAAAAACTTTTCCGAAAGGCATGAACACATGCAAACCGCAAAAGTTGTAACTATGCAATATTGATCGGCCTAAAAAATGGTTCGACAGACTAGTCACGTAGCCGCCCCTTTCGCTCTTCACTCAGCACTGAACGATTCATTTTTAAAAACACCTTTTCACATGGAAAAAGTCCTACTGAAAATCAAGATAGAGCTCCACTGAAGCGCTTGACGGCAGCGCTTGTGAAGACTCTAAAAACATTTTCATGCTGCTCTTATTCACGTTTTTTCTTGAATTTTTTTTGAAGCATCGCATTAGCTTTTCCATGGGTTTGTGTTCATTCAGCGCAAATTCGTTTCAGCAGCATTACTTTGACTAACAAAACTCGCAATCTCCTTTAGACTGGTCCATTCCAATCCCAATGTCATGGGTTCAAGGCCATACCTTACCAATCCTGAGGTTACTAACCCTATCCCGTCTTCACTTTCAAAACCGAACCTTAACGTAGAAGTAGAAGATGGCTTCAAACAGAGCTATTCTAACACTAAACGGACAGGAAAGGCACGGTGTACAATGAGATGCACCGCACTAGCACGGGCAACTGGAACGGAATTCATGCACGCGTACGTAAGAGCCCTCCACCCCTTCACGTTCACGAAAACCACTGCTTATCTTATGTGGAACAAGGAAAGCACTCGCTTGAACATTGACTGTCTTCCATTCTTAACCGTATGATCAAGTACGGATTCAAGTAATTGTACGGCCGATCCTGAATCAAACCGAGTACCGAGTACATGGCGCGCAGACGTTGATGAAGAATGCATAACGCCTTTCCATCACTTGCCAATCAGAGCCTCCTATGAAAAGGACAAGAAAAATGAGCGAAGACTGCTGAGCCATGTGATTTTAGGAAAATAGCGGTCAATCTATCAAAAAGAACCATATGACCGAATCTAACATAACGTGAGATTGGCTGGTTAAAAAAAGCGCTGGAGGACGTAGTTGCAATTGAATATGAAAGATGGCTGTCTGTCGGAAAACGAAAAACAAGGGCTATTAGTGATCGGATAGCGAAGACGTGCTACGGTGGAAATTACGGGAAGCCTGGGCTATTACGCCTACACTGATACATCTATGGCTTCACTAAGAAAGGAAATCAAGAGCAGACACCTGAACGATGCTCAGCCGACTAAGAATAAACGGCATTGCCTGGTTCTTGCTCCAAAAGGCCGCAAGGTGTATCCGGCTACCTCAAATCGATATGGGGTATGAATAGCGGGCGACGAGGGGCTCCACGCAGACCAAGTGTGTCTGGTCGTGGCCGTCCGGTGCCGCCGCTGCCGCCGCCGCCGCTGGGCTTCGGAACGATCAGAGTCCACAACGAAGGCGATCCGCAAACAACCAGCACATTGCACGCCTGTGCCGCTTCGTCACCTCGCCTGACAATTCCAGCTGCAGCAACGCGGCATTCAGAACGGCTGATATACAACTGGTGGTGCTATAAAGGCATGGTTATAGAGTCGAAGATCTCAAGCAAAGCAAAAATCGATGCGGCGGCAGCAAAGCTTCTTGAACTCATTATACAAATCCTCTGCGCGCTGGAAATTCTCGCTAAGCTGGAGCATTCTTTTAAGATTAGCTACTTTCCTGCTTCTGTTGACTAGTTCTAGAAAGATTTCGCGCGCTGCACGTAGTCAAAGACTACATACGCAAAGGGTTACGCAGGCGATGACGAAGGAAGTCGCTGAACGACGGAAGTGAGGGAGGGCACAGGGTCGTGGTGAGCAGCAGCTTTACGGCACAGGCTTGCACACGGTTGCGTCAGTAGCAGCGGCAGCGATTTCGTAACGCTATTCTATGAATAAGAAGCCAACCGGAATAAAAATGAGCGCTATTCGGGCTGCGACTTTCTTCTCTTTAATCTACTCTGACAAATTCTATTGCTGGATTGGTAAAAAACTCGTTCAGTTCTCATGTCATGATATAACCCAATCGAATCAAGTAGAAAGTGTGGGAAGTGAAACCAAGCCTGAAAGCACCATTTCTCCTTCTTCTGGATCAACAAGTGGTAAACAGAGAACCCTCCAGGGAGTCCTTATCATAAGAGTGAGTTCAACTGAGTAGATTGCTCGCTACCTCAGGGAATTGCGACAAACAAAAGTCTGCACGAGCACCAACAATTCTTTTCGCTTGCTTCGATCGGATTTGCAGAAATAAAACTTAGTGCTTAGGAAAACCAATGAACCCAGTCGATAGCCAAGGTCGCGTCAGCTTCGTTGTTGTCCCACAACTCACCAGTTGAGCGATTTTGTGGGGACCGCTTGGCGCCTGGCGCAATCTCCTTGGCCAAACATATCGCCAGCTTATAGTTTCGTAGCATTTCAGAGGTCTCAGAACTTTCATGCTAAATATGCAACACTTTTATAAAAAAGGGCTTTCAGGCACGTAGCCGTGGAATAGACATTGACGTCCCATAGTGGAAATATGGGTCAATCAGCCGACGTAGTTCAATCGAAGGCTCGGTTTTAGTCTCTGTCTAACCGCTCTTGAAGTCCATATATTTTTTACATGAGGGAAGACCCATGCAAGAGCCTCAGTGTAGACCACAAAGAAAAAACATTTGAAAAAAAACCTGCATAATCGGTGACAAGGCCAAGACGCTAGTGACCACAGCACCTGGGTCAACATCCAAGTACAAGCAAATTACGCCCACGACAGAAAGAACAGTCACGGAAATGAAAACAGTGACGCATAAGCAAGGCTGGCAGGCTGCAGGCCGTGCTTAAAATAGTCCAGATTGTTTGCGTTACCGAAAGTCAATTCGTCGGGAACGCGGCGGGAGCACATAGAATGAACACTGCTAGCTAACCTGGCCAGGATGAGGACCTCGAGAGACAGAGAACGAGCAAGTGAGGCATAGAGGCGAATGAACGACGAAAAAACAGCGACACCGCCCCTCTCGGGTTGAGAACATTTTTTTTTCAGCAAGTGGCTGTCGGCAGTATCGACTTGCGACTTGCTTACAGCTAAGCAGAGGCGTTCAAATAACTTAGATAAGTTTATGGCCACGACCTGTTATCGAATCCGATTAGAAAACTACATTTTCCACCTGACGCGCCGTACCCGCCACTGACCATATTGATAAGGGCTTATTCCGAGAGAGCGAACCAGAGCGCCGTTGAGACCAAGGAACAACATCAACCAGTCATACCGTGGTTTCTCTAGAACGCAATAAATCTCAGTCAATTACCAATTTGAATGAGATACTGAGCATAAACCGTTAATGAGCAATGAGTTATACTGCAGTAAAATAGCGCTGGAATTAATTCTTAGCTGAAATTGTGGTTAGTACCTCATTCAATGTGAAAATTTCGAAAATAATGGGTTGTGCTGAAACAGCAAGCTCATCTGGCTAACAACACAGCCATCCGAAAGTGTTCCGCCCTCGGTCTCTTAGCGAATCGATTGGCTAACAAGAGTGGCCTCACTTCCACTTGCATAACCCATTTTTGCTTCTTCAATCTTCTGCTTCAAAACAAAAGCAATCATTTGGAAGCTTCCCAACAGAAGGGCCTTTCTTAGTGAAGAACTCAGCTACTCAACCGACTAGATTTCTCAAATGAACAAAGAATGAGGGATGCGCTTGCCGGATTTGATTAAACGCATCAGGGTACGCCATGCATCTTCCTTCCGCACGACTTTCATTATAGAACTGTTGAACAGCCCTATATGTCCTTCTGAAAAGATGATGGAGCCAACCAACTGAGAAGTCAAGGATTTCTTTCTGCTACATGGATTCAACTCTTATAAAACGGATGAGAAAATATGTTTTTAATGGCTCAAGCGGATGCGATCCGCATACGGTTCAATCGACAGCAGTGCAACTTGCACTGCATTTCACCCTTTCCTAAGGAATAAAATAAATTCAGATTCGAAATTTTTAAACGCGTTGATGCAAATATCATAATGGCTCCCCCCCGTTTCTCCACGATTTGAGGCGCGGCCGCGGCAAACCCGGCCGAGTATGCGCCATCAGCTGTGAGTTCGCTGATACGGTATCGATACAGGCATACTACCTGAGTATTCGACGTGAACTACGGCATCAGCTTACCTGAGTATTCGACGTTACATTACGGCATCAGCTTGCCTGAGTATTCGACGTTACATTGCGATACGTAATGTAACGTCGAATACTCAGGTAAGCTGATGGCGCGTACTCGGCCGGGTTTGCCGCGGCCGCGCCCCAAATCGTGAAGAAAGTGGGGGAGCCATATCATATGTGGAGAAAAACGTTCAGAGGAGATTATCAGGAGAGAAGCAAGTCCAAAACAACAAGCCATTGGAAAAGGCCTCTGAAAAAAAAAAAACTGAACAAAAAACACCGCGCTGCCACGCACTGTTTCGATCCACTCCCAACTCCAAGCATGGCACTTCAACATTCGATGAAAACTTCACAAAAAAGTCACACACGCATTGATTGCTTGTATTACTGAATCGATTATCAAATTCTTCTGAAAAAAGTGATAAATACCTCTTTGATGAACAGAGCATGATGTCCAATGGTGGGAGAGCTGAGGTCTAGGCCAGAATCTAAGCTACGCATTCCAGGACGATACATTCTGGACAAATGCGGACGTATGTTGCTACGATTCGGTGAAAACAAAGGCGCTGAAAACTGCATTATCAGCAAAAATCGTATCGAAGACGTATTGTAGTGAATCTAGAAACCAAACTCTGAGGAAATTGACTATGAGAAGGCCCTCGAAGATTATGGTGCCATTTGGTAAGGGCAGACTATCAGACGATCTAGGGTGCTATTAGCAAGCCAATATACAATTGGCCGATTGCGAAGGCCGATCGAAGGTGGTATATGTGCTCACAAAAACTCGCTATTCAATTCAAAAAATGGCGGGGCACCACAGCATTCATGACTGACCATGTGACCAAGACTGCTGAGTAATCGACGTTAATCTCATTTCTGGTCGTGGTCCTCAGAAATTGGGACCAGTTAAGGAAACTGAGAAAAAAGCTAAGAGGACTTCTCCAAAGGGGTTAGAGGGGAATGGAGGTCGGTGAATAATGAAACATTCTAAGTTAGCTTTAGCTCTGAAAAACAGACCTTTCGCAACTGAAAGCGCATTTGAAAAGTCTTAGTGGTTTGCAGGAATAGATACTGAATAAATATTGTATATTTCACTCACAAGTTGGTATGCCTCCATCGGTGGACCCTGACGCTCTGGCTGACACTGACATTGCTGGCGGTGAAGGAGGTGTTGCTGATCCAGACAAGTTCAACTGAAAATTCCCTCTCAATATGTAGATTATCACAGTGGTGGGTTGTGGAAAACACACAGCGGACTCGAATCCACACGAATTCTAGCCTCAGAAGAAAAAGGGGAAATGCGGGTCCAGTTGCGCCTGGGGCAATGTGTTTTGCGCATAACCAGAGACCCTTATGTTACCTTCCGCATGGCGGTAAAGTCGTTTACAAGCAAAAACATATCAAAATTGTAATATCGCTGAATTAAGAATTTCTGGGAAAAGCTTTGAGCTGTCTCAGTAGATTTCGAGACCATTTAGATGAACCGTTCTGCTGTTCGCCACCTTCGTCAGCTTTTGAAGAAACCCTGGGCGACGATTGCGAAAGTCAGAAACAAATTATTTCTATAGTGGATACGAACCCTAAGAATGTAAGTAAGCATATAAAACAGATTCCTTTTTTTGGATTGGTCTTCTCACAATACTTTTGACGTATTCAACAAAAAATCGGAACTAGTTTTGCATATTACACTAGCATTCACATGAAAGGAAATCCATTGTACCTGTTGTTATCTCCTTTTCAAAGAGTTCACTCTCAAAAAAGACAAGGCAAAAAAGCAAGTATAGGCGAATCCCGGAGTTTTCATTGATCATTCTTTCTACTTGTAGTTATGATATTATTTCAAGCTATTCTATGATTATGAAAAGTGCATAGCTATACATACATTACATACATACATACTTTTACATTTCTTCGTCATTGCGCGATTTGTACACAATATTCGCATAGGGGATTGCGCTCGCGGTGTCGCCTATCCTATGCTGTTAAGCGGCTATTGTGAACTAGGCGACCATTTGAAAGGAGGGTGAGGGGAAGGAGCATTAACCCATTCGCGACCGCGCCGGTTTGCGCATTAGCAGGAGAATCAGGAGATTTTTCTTCAATAAAATTTGAGTGGATGGAGATTCCCCGTGG